TTTTGAATCAAAACCTCTTGTCTTGATTTCAAGCATTTCTTCAAGTTAAACCAAAAATAAAAAAAACCCCAGTCACTTCAAAAAATCAAAACAGCTTGAATATTCAGATTTCAAACAATTTGGCAGAACTATTAATTTTGGCTGTTGCCAAATCTGCATTTTGCCAAATAGCTTGGTCAAAATTTGCACATCTCTACTTCATGAGGTGAGGCTTTCTGCCAACAAAACCAGGGCTCACTAGAGAATGGGTAAGTAATCCACCTGCAAACCCCAATTTCTCCCTGCAAATACTGGTCCTTGGAATATAGATCTACAGGCACCATAGACTATTAAAGATTTTATTTAATCTTTCAGTGTCATGCAGCCCATCTTCCAAAGCAATCACAAATTCACAACTGCACTGCAGAAGGAGATGGGCTTATCTTCACAGCCTTGTTCAAATATCTCTAGGCTGGCTTTCCCTGCCCCACTTTGCTAATTAAACACAACTTCAGTCACCTTTTTCATCTGAGACAAGGTGACTGAGTTAATCTCTTATTGGACCAACTTCCATCAGTGAGACAAGCATTTGAACTTGCATAGAGCCCATCAAGTCTGGGAAAGCTACTCTGCATCAAAGCTAATACAAGGTGGAATAGATTATGCCAAAGGAGTGAACACATTGCAAGAGGCCATTCAAGGTGAAGTGGGCAGTTAACACCTTTGCAGTCATAGGCAGAAGGAGGGTTACAGATTGTAATAGGCAATAATCCAGGGTCTTGAGTCCATGACTCTTTTGACATGTAGCAGTTATGAATTTAAGATATCTACATTAGTCCCTTGAAGGCATTGTGCTGCCCTCCTTTGACCTGTCAGACCGAGTGATTGTTTTGTGAGTAGTGTTTGCCCATGGGTGACAGGGTGGTTTTTTGTCTTGTCACCCTTCTGGGTGAGCTCATCTGGGAGCATAGTGTCTGCCTGGCTCCACCGACCCAGTTGTTGGGACATGTGGTGTACTGGATGAGGCATGTGTAGGACCCATGGATTGTGACAAATGTGGTTTTTTTTTGGGGGGGGGGGGCTATTGATCACAATAGCAGTGGAGATCTGTTTGCAGATTTTGGCATTTGTTATGGCATATGCCTTCTTGGGCCCTCCTGACAACTCCTTCCAAAGGAGAGCGCATGGCCCCAGCGTCTGCAAAAATGTCCAAATGAGGACTGAAGATCTGCCCCCAGACACCTAGTTGGCTTTTGCCTGGACTCTGCTTTCTTCAGTAGCCTTGTCTGTGTTCCTGGCTCAGTCTGGACAGCTGGCAGTCTTCCCCCCCCATCCCCTCCATCAGAATCTTATTAGCTATGTTTACATGGCAGGGATGTCAAGCAATTAATTTTTAATGGCTTGGTTTATTGCATGTATGAATGGTTTAGTGAGTAATTTCCACATTTAAGTGATTAATTCCCCAGAGTTTGGAGGGACTGGTTAGCTTTACATTAATCAGGACTTCGGCATGCCAAGGGGCGATCAATCAATCCCCTGCTGCCAGGGAGAGTAATGTTAAAATACCTCCAAGGTACAGTGAGGTTAGGTAGAGCTTTAATTACTCCCTTCCTTGCTTCCAGCAAATTTTTTTGTTGGTCCCTGCTATTGGCCTGGTCTCCCCTGCACATCCCCCTCCCCAACACTTCCCTTTCCCAACACACAACAAACCCAGATGTTCATTAGGAAGCTGGCAAAAGCATGTCAGATCCTACATAGGATTCATGCTCCCCAATTTCAGTCCATCTGCTCCTGGCAGAGCCATGGTATAAAATATGCACCTGCCATGTGGAAGAGGGATATATTAACTGCTCCATGGACAGGCAGGTCTTTGGTTCTAGCTAGGGTCAGGCTGAGTAGGAATTGGTGAAAGCTTCCTCACCTCCTTCCTTGCTGATTGTGCTCCTGGCCTGACCAGTAGCTGCCCCATCTATTGATCCCAGGTTACTGATCTTGCCCTGGTGCAGGTCTTTGCTCTTGGGCAAGTGCCTAACCTAGCAGCCTTAAGCAAGCACCTCTGCAGATCACCAAACCTGCTTGTGACTCCAGCACACAATCTTCCTGAGAAGGGCTAGCAGGAGAAGTCCCACCTAGTAAATCTCTTCCATGTAGGCTGCTCCTATGTACAAGCATCAGCACCCATGATCACAATGCCACTTATAGCACACTTCTGCCAGTAGCCTTGACTGCTACGCTATAGCTGGAGCATCCACTGTATTACCATAACCCCCTTAAGCAAATACTGATGATGAAGCATATGCTGGCCAAAAAGTACACAGCACACTAGCCCCAATAAAAACACTTCTGCATTTTACCTCCAAAGTACTTAACGACATAATAGATGCCATGTGCTCTCTCATTAGGTAACTACACAACCACCGTATCAGACTGGAAACTAACACAGCTAGAGTTGCATATTCAGTTACTCTCTCAAATGCAGCCTGCTTGGTTCACACTCTGCCATCTCCAGCACTATACTTTTCAGTAGGTTATCAAGAAAAGCCAGTGCATTTGACATCCAAGTGCGTGGAAGATGTATCTTTTATTTTGGTATTTGATAAACTTCATACTTCCAAACATTTAGCTTGTGTGAGTGGAACAACCAATCAGCAGATGGAGACAGGTGGAGATGCCAAGATCTTCTGAAGGCTTTGCCTGTAGAAGATACTGGCTAGCAAAGCTTTCATGGTTGCCTTGGCAGAGTCAAGAGACCATCTCAGATCATTGGGCAACTTCTGCTACAAAGAACCTAAACATTACCACATTCTCCTTCTGGTTTGTTAATCTGGCATCAACCACATCTGGTTTAATGGGGAAACTTAGATGCTGGGATTCCAGCACTGCAGAATGGCAGGCTACACAACAAGGACTGTTCTTTCAATAGGTCTTGTGACTTGAAAACTGTCTCTGGGTCAAGAATGAATTTGGCGTTAAATCGCTAACTCGGTATTCAGCCTATTCCTTAAGGCGTGAACTGGGTAACTCTCTAAGATCTCTGAAGCAGGAAGAACAAATCTGCAGCTTGTTTGCAGTGCAATAACCCAGTTGGTGTAATATGAACTGGACAAGGCAGTAAATTCAGCATAAACTTGGCTGAAATCTTGTGGACTAGGTAACTAAAAGCAAAGGTGTATAGCTTCAAGGACTTCCTGTAGGAGTAGTTTTATATTGTCTAGCATCAACAGCATGATGTAGTCCATTGGCAGGAAGCTAGGTAACTCATTTGATGCCTTGCCTTGTAGTACTTCAGCCCAGCTACCTCCAGGAAGTACGCTAGTCTTCCGAAGCTCATTAGAGGGAGGAGTTCTGGATAAGTGTTCACATGTTTGTCTCCTTTTCCCAATTCTCAGGAGGTGTGTATTGGGGAGAAGGCTGTCCCCCTCCGCCTCCCCAAACTGGGGAAAATCAGTGAATTGACAGGACTCCAATAAGCAGACTAGTCTTGGTCAGCCTGATGTCCCCACCATAATGTGTTAGGGTTGGAGGAAAGACCTGCAATACATCATCGCGCACTTGTTTGTGGAGAGGGTGAGACACTTGCTCTCACATCCAGACCCTACATAGAATGGCCCTCAAAGGCCCAAGGCACCATCTCCAGAATCCATGGGTCTTGCACCAAGACCACCCCATTTCCCACCCTTCCTAACTAATGCTATTGCAGCTCAGTTTGGTCACCTACCATGAGACAGCTTTGGGACAGATGGTTAGGAAGAATAATTCAGACAAAAGGCTAGACTAGAAATCCATTCATTACAGCAAACTAAGGAGTAGGCTTGGGTGGAGGGAGACCTTTTTAAGTACAGGATATAACTAAAGCCTTCTGCATGAAAAAGCTGGTGATAGCAAGCCACCTGCTTGTTTGACTGAAAACTAAGCAAGTTTTTCTCTGGCTTGTGTACTTGGCCTATTGACCTGATCGTCAGTGTAGAGCTGAGAAAGTAAACCCTTCCGATGCTGTTGGATTCTGACTGTGTATGGCTCCATTAGCTTTCCACGGTAGCTACCTCTCCTCCTTTCTAAAAAAATGAAGGATTTGTAGGTTGAACCGTACTTGGCTTCTCATTGCAGGGCAATGCTTCCTGCTCTCCTCTTGCTGGCAAAGCCCATTTGTCGCACTAGGGCCAAAATGGGATGTTGGCACCTCATGCTGCAGACTATGTAGTTTGTCACCACATGGGCCTGACTTTCTAAGAGCTCCACACACAGTGGGGGGCTCTTTCCTTATGAAATCTGGGCTTTAAAGTAGAAACTCCACTTCTCTCTCTTCCCCCCCCCCCCCCCCCAAATGAGTGTGCTGAGCTCTAGAAAACCAAACGTGACTCTTGCCAGATCATTCCTTTCTCACTGGCCAGATGTTGTTGGAAGGCCAGGGCTAAGCCAATACATGGTCCCCACCACGTTGGTAGCTTCCAAAGCTAAAAACCCAAGACACTCGGATGTGGGGTTTTGAACTGCATGAATTACAAGACACCCCCCCCCCACACACCCCCAGAAATAATTCAGTCCTGAATGGACTCAACCTGCCCAGGCTAGCTGGAGGGGAGAATAGCTTTTTTAACTCACACTTGGCTTTTAATTCAACAGGCCCTTCCTTCCTTAAGAAGGGAGGGTGAGGAGTGGTACTTCTCCTCCATATCTTGCTTGTCACTACTCCTGTAGCTGGCCAAAGAGGCCTTGGAAAGAGCTTAGGTGTTTAGCGGTCCTCAAACACTGGCAGGTATGACGTCCTTTCCAAGAACTCCCAGTCCCAGCTTCTGAAGTCTCCCCTTAGTCTGTTTTTTCTAGATTGGGACCCTTAAGTGCCTCATGAGATACAATCACACCTATAGTCAATCATTATCCAAGTATCTCTGTAGGATATGCATATATTTAAACCAACTACTAGCTTCCAATGCCCTGAGATGCTCCCTCAGCAGGAGAAGTTGACTTGCCTTTTACCTAAAGCTTGGTCTTTCTCCATCTCCTTATTCAGACAAACCAAAATGGCCGAAGAAGAAATTGCTGCTCTCATCATTGATAATGGCTCTGGGATGTGTAAAGCTGGCTTTGCTGGAGATGACGCCCCTCGTGCAGTGTTCCCATCCATTGTCGGACGCCCAAGGCACCAAGGGGTCATGGTTGGGATGGGGCAGAAGGACAGTTATGTTGGTGATGAGGCCCAGAGCAAGAGAGGCATCCTGACCCTGAAGTACCCTATTGAACATGGCATTGTCACCAACTGGGATGACATGGAGAAAGTGTGGCACCACACCTTCTACAACGAGCTCCGTGTTGCCCCAGAGGAGCACCCTGTTCTCCTGACAGAAGCTCCCCTGAACCCCAAGGCCAACAGAGAGAAGATGACCCAGGTGCAGTATTGCAACTATGTGTATATCTGCTGTGCATATCATACAGCTGAATTAAATGAGTGTCTTGGTGCTCTACCCCTTGCTTCCCTGATGTTTTATGGCAGCCCTGCCACAAAACTTCTGCTTCGAAGTCTCTTGGCTGTCTCAATTTTTGTCTGATGCTGAGTGTTCAGGTTTTAAGGTCTCCCAGGGAACCTGTCAAACAGCACTTCATGAGACCTGTATCAGAGGGGTAGCCATGTTAGTCTGGATCTGTAAAAAGCAACAGAGTCCTGTGGCACCTTATAGACTTATTGGAGCATAAGCTTTTGTGGTATTCACCCATGAAAGCTTATGCTCCTATACATCTGTTAGTCTATAAGGTGCCACAGGATGCTCTGTTGCTTCATGAGACATGTTCAAACAGACCTGAGATGTTCGACTCTGCAAGAGCTTATCTCTAGTGAAACACACGACTTCAGAAATTGTCACTTTTTTCCCCTCTACCAGTTGAATTTCTAAAAGGATGGGAGGGGAGAAGAGGACTGGTGAGGTGGAGGGGAGCTAAAATTTAACATACAGAGTTGAGTCTTCTGGACAAACTTTCATGCCAAAGGTGTCTTTGAGCTGTTCTAGTTGCCCATCAGCATAGTATCTGGCTGCCTGTGTGGTGTCTCTTGTGCTGCTACAAGATTACACCTGCATACTGTTCACAGCAGAAGTCCCTCTAGCTCACAGGGGAAGGCCTGGGTTTTGATGCTTGAGCCCAGAATAGTCTAATCATGGTGTTGTCTGGGTCTAGCCCTGATTAGCTACAGATTCAGGAATCAGCATTTGGTTGCAGGCGTGGACAGCTGATCCCCACAGTACGGTAAAAATGTCTCCTCTCTCCTAGATCATGTTTGAGACCTTCAACTGCCCTACCATGTATGTGGCCATCCAGGCTGTACTGGCCTTGTATGCCTCTGGACGTACCACTGGCATTGTGATGGACTCTGGTGATGGGGTGACCCACGCCGTGCCCATCTACGAAGGCTACGCACTGCCTCATGCCATCCTGCGCTTGGACTTGGCCGGGCGTGACCTGACCGACTACCTCATGAAGATCCTGACCGAGCGGGGCTACAGCTTCACCACCACGGCCGAGAGGGAGATCGTGCGTGATATCAAGGAGAAGCTGTGCTACGTTGCCTTGGAGTTTGAGCAAGAGATGGCCACAGCTGCTACATCTGCCTCTTTGGAGAAAAGTTACGAGCTCCCTGACGGGCAGGTGATCACCATTGGGAATGAGCGGTTCAGGTGCCCAGAGGCCCTCTTCCAGCCCTCCTTCCTGGGCATGGAGTCCTGCGGCATTCACGAGAGCACCTTCAACTCGGTCATGAAGTGTGACATCGATATCCGAAAGGACCTCTACGCCAACACGGTGCTGTCCGGCGGCAGCACCATGTATGGCGGCATCGCCGACCGCATGCAGAAGGAAATCGCTTCCCTGGCCCCCAGCACCATGAAGATCAAGATCATTGCCCCAGTGGAGCGCAAATTCTCAGTCTGGATTGGTGGCTCCATTCTGGCTTCTCTCTCCACCTTCCAGCAGATGTGGATCAGCAAGCAGGAATATGACGAGGCTGGTCCATCCATTGTTCACAGGAAATGCTTCTGAATCCTGTAGCAAAATGGAAGCGTCAAATGTGGCTGGGCAATGGACTGTGTTCCTTTTATGGAAATATTCCTTCCAAAGCTGTTCCTAACTCTTCCAAGGGCTGTCTGTATGCTTAACATATCCTATTTAAGATTAGTTTGGATAGGTCTAAAGCAAACCAGTCCCATTGCATATAACTTAATGCAGTGATCACCTGTAAAAATGTGCTAAACCCCTCACTAGTGACTCATCACAAGGTTAAGAGGTAAAACCATGTTAATGTGAGGCTATGGGTCTGTCGCTGACTAACAGCACTCTCTTCCCTCTTCCTTGTTGTTGTACTGTCAGATTCTCAGGGCTAGAGATGAGATTGGTGCAAGATGTATTCAAGGTCACTCATCTAAAGAGTGAGTAATTATTCCATAACTCCTCTTCAGGGGCTGGCAAGTGCAAATGTTAATTGCCACTTGTCTTCCTGTTGTAACAGCAGGAATTAAGGGGCCTGTTTGCTTTTTTTCCCACCCAACTGTACCACCAAATAGCCATGGGGCTAAAGGCTACTCCAGGCTACATGTGCAAGCTGCTGTATTCTAATGCTAATCTGACGATCTCTGTACATTGCCTTAATGACAATACAAACTCTTAAATCTTCCCAAAGTGGAGAATTGTAACATGCAATGATAGTCTTGTGATAAGGGGAAACTTAAAAATTAAATATGTGAAGTGCTTTGCAGGACTGACTGAGTTTCTTTGGGAAACCGATGGGAAGGGATTTGGACAACACTCTAGAGGTCTCTGCTTTCAGAAAGACAACGCCTTTTGATCAAGGATCAAACGTTACCCCTTTAACAGGGATACATACTCATTTTCCAGCCTCCTGGAAGTGGGGCAGGGACTAAATGACTTATCTGACATTGCCATGAGTCATTGGTGGCAGATCTGGGTATGCAGTAGCAGACTACTGGGGGCTGCTTGTCCTGACAACTCTGCCTGATTTAAGGAAACGTCAGCTTCCTATGGTGTTGGAACAGTCAGTGACCTGAGACTTAAGAGTCACAAAGCTACATGATTAAACAGCAGCTGGGTTTTTTCAGAGGTGCTGAGCCTCCAGTGACTGCAATGGGAGCCATTGCATGCTCTACATTTCTGGAAAACCGACACTCAGGGCAGGTCTACACTACAAACCTGCATCGGCGCTGGTGCTTCTGCCACTGTAGTGCTTCTGGTGAAGATGCTCTAAGCTGACCAGAAAGCTCTCCCGTCAGTTCAACTCCACCGCCATGAGAGGCGGTAGCTATGTTGGCAGGATTGAAACTCTCTCGTGCCAACAACCCCCTATGTAGACAGTTATGCTAATCTTAGCACGGTCGCTTGGGTGTGGAGTCTTCACACCACCTGAGCAATGTAGTCGTCATACCAAAGTAAGTGTGTAGACCTGGCCTTAAGCACCTAAATCTGGTTTAAAACTAACTCCAGCTACCCATTTTCAAAACTCTGCCTGAAGGCTGGGCTTTTCATTGGTGTCCCACTCCAGTCTTTAGGTTCCTAATATCTGCCCCATTCCTCAATTGAAATAGCTCTTGAGGCACATGGGCAGCTTCAGAGCACCCTGTAGGGGTGTAATTACAAGGGTCGGGGGGATGGTGTGTGGTTTTTTTTTAAGGACTTGTTGGATGCCTTAAAATGGAGGTGCCTCATGGGATTTTTCAAAGATGTCTAACTCCTAGAGAGCTCCAACGAAAAGCACCCCAGATGGCCTTCTGCATCTTGGGTGGGGGGCAGACTACTAGAGGTACTTTGGCTTCCAGGAGTTTAGCACCATTCTGACTTGGTATGCCCAACCACCTCTGGGGACTAGATAACCCAGTGGTTGGACCTGCTCAGCCACCTGCTGCGCTGGCTCTAGCAGAGGCTCATGCAGGGAGGTTCAGAGGGTCCTTCATTCAGTGCCTAGTGCAGGGGGGTGCCCTGCATAACAGCTCTGCCCCCAAACCATGTTCAGCTGCATAAACTAACATCCACCTGATGGCTGCAATTGCTCAGCCCTTTGGGCACTGGAATTAATAGGCATTGCTCACCCCTGCAGGACTTCAAATGCTGGCTGAATATCTTAGTTAGTATGAGGGTTTCTTTAGCTTGGAGTGGGAGAATGTGACCAGGACATTTTGTGTGGGTCGTGTGTGGTGGGTTTTATTTTTTTTAACACTACTGCTCCAGGCAACATCTAGCCTTTACATCTAATCATAGAACAAAATGTGGCACATAATTAAGAACAAGCTTGGTGTGTTAAATTGCCTCACCTTGGAACACATACATCTTTAGCACTTGACTTGCTGAGTAACTTTCCTTTTATTTAAAAAAAAAAAAATGTTCAAGGCTGCTGTCTGCTTCACACCACTGTCTTGCAGCCCGGAATGCCAGCAGAGTGTGAACAGATGGCCAAGAAACCACCTCAGGAAGAGCTGGCTGAAGCTTGATGGCCAGAAACTATGAAAGCAGGGTTTTTTCTGGGTGCCCAACTGGAGATGATTGAAAGGACCCTAGCCTCTAAGATTGAGTCTTCCTAGAAAGTATTGAATACCTTACCATGTCTGGACACCAGAAAACTTGTGGGGGGAGACCAGAACTCAACACGGTGTCGGAAGTGGTCTGGGTCTCTGCACATAGAAGGGACTCTGAAATTTGGGTGGACAAGGCTTCAAAACTAAAGCTTTCCACTCCTGTGAGACTAGAGAGGGAAGCTGTCCCTTTAGAGGCCAGTCAAAGGGGAAACCACCTCTTCTCCCACCACCTCCACTAGCCTTCCTTCTGCATGGGGTAAGGGTAAAAGTATTGTCTAATTTACTCCTGTGTCCTTGAATTGTTTCTAGCAAAGAACAACATTGCTTCTACAGGGAATGCAATGGGATACATGTCCAATGTCTCTGTTCTGGCTAAGGCAAAAAAGTTTGAGATCATTGGAGTAAGGGCAGCACTATCACAGCCCTTTCAACAGCAAAAGCTGTTTTGCCATGGCTGCAGCTCAGAAAGGTGGGCTAGTACAGATGCTGTGCCTAGTGTGCAACTAGGAAAAAGCGTTTGTAAAACATGCTGAAGTTTTTTAAAGGGGGGAAGTGGAGGGGCTTCTATCTGACCCCTGGGCACTGGAGGTCAACACTTTGACCAAAGTAGCCACTGTTCCTGGGACAGCTGCTTGGGGGTGGGTGGGTGTATGTATACACAGCAGGCAAACAGATGTCCCATCCAGGCTAGGAGTTGGGCTGGGCTAGTTTCAACATTTTGCCAGTGCCACACTCCTACCAGGCTCTCGTATGGCTATCTGACAGCAAGAGCAGAAGGCTGAAAGATGGAGGGGGGATGAAAACTCCTAGCAGCTGAGGTTGTAGGGCTGAATTGCCCTGCAGCCATATCTGCCACCCCAATGGGAGTTGGCCCTGCCTGCCCAAGATAATCTGGTTCTGGCTACACAAGCAAACCTTTCCAGAAGCTGCCCTACTCCCTGTCTCTCAACCCCCTCCTAGTCCTTCGTTAGCTCCACCTGTCTAGGAGGTGGAAATGGAATTAACTGGCATTTGTAGCAAATCCCTCTGTTAAGTCTGCAGCAACAATTCCTGCTCTTGGAAATAAAACAAACTCGGCTCTGGTCTGAAGACAAGCTACTTAACTGCCAGCCAGCTCCATGTAAGCTGTTAAGGATGGCTCCTGAATACATAGGGAGCTGGGAGCCAGGAGCTGTCTCCTCTGGTCCGATCAAAGCGAACAGTGTAAAACTAAAATCCGTGGAGGTATTTTTAGCCAAAGCCTCAGACTTACACAATTTAAACTGAGCAGTTAGAGCAGCAGATCTGTGCATGTCTTTCCTCAGATGCTCAGCCAGGCTGGCTTTAAAGGAAAATTAACCTCTGGTGTGCAACAAAGGGGGACACAGTAAAGGAGCCCATCCTCTAAACAGGCCCTCTCTGAACAGCTGTTATCTAGCGTAATGTCTTTCCCAAATGTCTGCCGAACAAGGGTTTCCATGGAAAGGACCAGCTTCTTCAGAGTGGTGACCTGGGGCAATGCATTCCCACAGCCAGCGAAGGTGAAAGCCAAGCGCAAAGTGTGGGCGGGGTCAGGCAGGACAGGCCCTGCACCATCATGCTGTGGGGTTCCAGGGTTCTCCGCAGTGGCCCTTGGGAATCGGCTTATCTGGACGCTCCAGCCCTCGCTGCCATTGAATCTACCTCTTGAATGATCCTCTAGCAACTGGCTTCACACTTGGAACGTGCCTGATTTTGGTGCGTTCTTCTGCAGCTGTGTTTGCCTTTGTCATGTGTACAACCGGGCCTTGGGTGCTGCCTTCTACCATACAAGGAGGTCCAAGCATCTTATGAATAGGCACGGCTAGGCCTCGCTGCCCCCCGAGAGCTAGGTGAATCCTAGAATATCAGGGTTGGAAGGGACCTCAGGAGATCATCTAGTCTGACCCCCTGCTCAAAGCAGGACCAATCCCCAACTAAATCATCCAGGTGAGTGCTATCCTGGCTTGAACATGTGGAGAACTCAGGCAAAGATCAACTCAGGTTGCAGTGAGGGCAGGGCCAAGAATAGCATTGCAGGGTCCTGAATTTGATCCAACGCCCGCTGGGAGCCTTTCTATTGACGTCGCTGAGTTGGAGAGTGTCTCTGTCTTGCTTTGTGGCTAGCGACCGTCGTGATAAAAAGGAGGAAGCGACTGGGTTCATGTTCCCTTTTAGGTCACTTGCACCAGCTCTTCCTACTTAGTGTCTATTGACCAACCAACCTCGTTGACCTCGCCAGGGTGATTGTTTGTTTTTTGAAGCAAAGATTTCCTATCCCTGGCACTTGAAAAAGAGGAAGGCATGAGGAACAAAATATTAGAACACGCTGAATGCCACTTAAAATTTCAAGGTGACCATGGAGACCAGAACTCCGGTCTTCCTGCTACAAAAGCACAAGTCCCTGCTGCTTGAGCTGCAGGAGAATCTCCACAGTATAGGGCCCATGACACACAGTCAAGCAGGTTTGGCACTGCTGTGGTGCCCATGCTGGCTCCATTCTTGCAGTAATGTGTCGATTTTACAAAGTCAGGTACGGAAGTCAGTATCTGCTTTAAAAATATATATATATTTTGAATGATTCCAGCCCTGACCCCTGGTTTTGTTGGTTTGAGACCATAGGTCAAGCTGAAAAGCATGACGGGTTGGGGCGATTAGGTGAGTGAGGGTTGCTGTATTCAACCGGCCTGTTTGGTCGAGTGCCTGCTCGCACAGAGAGGTGGCAGGCTCACAAGTGCCCAAGTTCGGTGTTAGACTGAGTCTCTCTAGTAGCCC